GGGCCGCCATTGCTTCAACTCGAAAAACGAAATGTTAATAAGTTTCATCCCTTGATTTCACGATGTTGGTTGGATAACGCCAAATGAAGCTCCGCTTCGTTTTCGCTATCCGGAAATGCCACTTGGATTTTCTGCTGTAACTGCGCCCAATTTGCAATCCCCATTTGCGCACTGTGATACCATTGTCTAGCTGCTCCTTCCAAACGACAAGAAGCATAAATCAGCGTCGTTTGATCTGTCCAGTGATACAAGGTTTTGAAATGGTTGACATTGGAGCACCATTTCCTGACATATCTTCCACGTTGGAATCAATTTACTGACTTCATCAGGGTGCAACTGTCTTTCTCGATGTTCCTGATTATTCGGCTGCACTGCCACGTCACGAATAAACAACAATCGCCTCATAAGCGTCAGCAGCTCCCGCTCGCCCGTTTGCGCACCACGCGAACCGCTTGCACCGTTTCCGCCGCTTGCACCGCCCAGAACACCGCCGCCGCCACCTTGGTTTTCATCTCGCTGCACCAACTCGTCCTCATCGAATCCGTGAAATTCGTCGTCCGACATTTCAACGGAAACACTCGCGGATACTAATCCCACTTCTGCGAAAATGGTAGCCCGTAAATTGAGACGTTTCTCAATTATTGCCGTCACCAACGTAAAAACGAAATAAAACGCGTCTGAACTTTGCAAAGCGGAAGTATGGAATATTTTATTGTCTGAGTTTGGAGAGTTTTTCAGTTCGTTCGAAATCTACACAGTTTACACATTTCTTAGATAGTTGTAGGGATGTACATTAATTCTTTGTGGATAAAATGTAGTTGATCTATGCTAAGTAGTCTTGGGGATATTGATTTTGGCCTACACATCCAAAGTCCATCCTTTTTTTTCCATATTCTGCACAAAAGAAACGTTCTGCCCCGCCCCATTCATAATAAAATGGCTGGAAATCCTGTCGGTTGCGGGGCTTAGAAAGTATGTTTTGTGCAGAATATGTAAAAACTGAGGGACTTCGGATGTTAACCTAATGCATATATGGTGCATCATAGATAGAGAAGTTAGCAAGCCAACATTGAACACTAACAAAATTTCAAATACATATTGTTTTTATGTGCCCCACACATGAATTGTTGCAACGTGATCAACAAATGATATTTATATTATGTCGGCCACATACTTAATATGTGTACATATAAAAACCATGCGTTACCACACATACTATTTATTTGACGTATAAATTTCATGTGTACTTCTGAGTGGATTCTGTTTATGTGTGGTCAAATGAAAATCATGTGTAATTTCACATGGATATTTGTCAAGAAAAATGTGTAAATTGTTTTGAGTGAACCATAACCGAAATATTGAAATAATTGAAAATTTTAAGATAAAGTATAATAGTCAAAAATGCATCAATTTTGCGTGGTTCTACGTCATACTGCGGTCGTGTCTAGGACACAACCATTTAAATTTTTTTTAATCTTTAATAAGGAGATTTTTAGCCTTTGGCTAGTTCATGTCCGTCGCGATACAAACGTTTAAGCTAACGGAGCCGATTTTTTAACGTTTTCAGTGTTGTCGATTGTGTTTTTTTTTGTTCACCTAATTCCTGTAAAATGCAAATATTATTGTGAATTCATATAATGTTATTCAACAATGCTCAAGAGTAAAATAATATTGTGGTGATAACAATGAGTAACATTCGTAAAATGTAAACAGAATGCTTGAAATGCGCACAATTAGGGGCGGTCACGGTAGACCGTTTTACAATAGTTCTAGATAGAGCTGGAATTAGGGCGTAATAGTTTTTGTAAACAATTTCTTCTCTCGATGTTTTCTAGGAATGCAAGCCACGCCCACGCAAACCAACATAACTATCCTGTAGGGGAAGTCTTTCCCTACCCGATGGTGATGTTGCAAAAAGGTGTAAAAAATGAAGAAAACCTTAAAACTCGAAAAAACCACCGTAAGGTCCCCATCCACCGCTCACTGTAGAAATGTTGGTACCTATAATTTTTTTTTTCTAATGTTTACATTATAGTAAACGATTATATTAATCATTACTGGTATAAATTGTAATTATACTATATAAAGAGTTTCATCTGTTTGTGTGTGGTATGTATAATTACTAACTGGGGTTGCTTGCACTCACTTGCTTAAACAAAATGTTTTTTTTTTCGGAATTAAGATTATTAGATGAAATAACGATATGTTGTACTTGTAAGTAGGTTTACTTCCACTCACTTGCCATAAAAAAATGATTTTCTGAATTTTGAAATCATTAGATGTTATAATGATATTTTTTACTTGTTAGATACAAGAAGAGGTTAAGGGCAAATGTTTGACATATAAAACCTGTCAAATTCGCTTTCAGATAGTCACAATAAGCGATTTTACGACTCGCGAGCGCTCACTCTGAGTGAACGCTCACGAATAATAAAATCGCTGATTGTAACACTCTGGCAGCAAAATTGACAGGTTTTATGTGTCAAACATACTTGGACAAGCAAATCATCCATATACACGATCACTCCTCTAATCCCCCTGAACAACGGCGTATAATATCTCTTGGAGACCAGTTTCATCCCTATCATTCTATATTATCAGGTATACCGAAAAACCTGGCATAGTGGGATAAATGGTTGGTATCAGAAAATAATCTGTCAAACTACTACTACAAACCATACAATACACAACACGACTTCTAGGATATTCTACGGGGTTCTTGGAAGATCTACGGTCCTTTAAGATATTTTACTGACTTTTTAAGTTCAGACTTCTAAGTTCTACGGTCTATTCGGATGCTCTAAAAAACTGAATATCTAACCTCTAAGCGTTTTGTCATTCTGCGGATGCTTCTGGAGATGAACTTTCAAATTGGTGGTATAACCGCGACGTTGAACTTCTGCACCGCATATTTTACACTTAGCGGATACTGTGGACGTTTTCACAAAATAATTCCAAACTTCGGACATCTTCAACGATAATTGCATAAATATGTAAACGACTTCCGATGACTATCGAAGCAAAAAAAAAAACTATGCAGTAAAACGAGCATGGAACAGAAATTATAACAGTCGCGAGTTCGTTTCGTCTCGTCTGCACACGAGGGAGTCGAAAAATGTTGAGATTAATGATTCATTGATTCCCTCATAATATGTATCCATCCTGTATTTATCCGATTTAAATGGTAGAGTAGTGTGTCAAAAACTCAATAGTCGTCTCTTTCATTACTGTGTCGTTGGCGTTGACGTTGACGGCATTAGCTCAGCCGGGAAACTCTCACTTTGCACCAACTGTTTCTTATTGACGTGTGAATGAAAAATGCAGAAATCTTCCCTGAAATTACTGGTCCGATTTAAAAATTTATAATTTGTTCAGCAAAACCGCAGAGAAAAACTACCGATTGAATTGTAACTGGTTTTTTATCGATTTTTTTTTTCAAATTTGGTGTTAAAAATAAGATGAATCGTTAATTTGAATTGTTTTTTTTTTACATTTATTAATTCATGATGACACATGCTCATAGCTGCCACTTTCTTAATGTCTTCCAATGTTGTAGACCGACTGGATGTTACGTTTGTATCAGGGTACTGCTTTTATTTAATGTGCCTCTTCAGGGAACGCATTAGCGCATTTGGCACCTTGGGTATGTGCAATAAAAAAAAACGCGAAATTTTCTTGAAAATGACCTTTTTCAATGGACCAATTAACCCGAGCCTCTTTACACATATCCCGGAATCGGCTGACCGCAGAAAAAAAACAAATTATGGGATTTCCAATTTGTTTGAGTATTTCTTCCATTTTAGGCACTTACATTAAATTGCGCACTTTAACTCCAGAGAACTGACCAATCATTAATTTTAAAATGGCGGAAAAATATTGAGTTTGGCAGTTTGGCAAACCGTTCGGTACTTGTTTTAGTTTGGTTTGTATTTTTTTTACAGTATTGCGGGATTTCAGTCGTTTACAGTTTCGATCAGTAATTTGTAAATACAGTTTTCGGTAATTTTCTTCAAACTGTCAGAAATGCAGCCTTTTTTTATTGCTGGAAAATGGTAAAACATCAAATTTTACCTAGCATTCGGTAAAGCTGGCATTTTACAGTCAGCAACAAATGTACCGTACAAAATTTGATATGATGATGTATATAGGTGCACCAGGAAGATGAGACTACTAATAGGGCAGAAACGACACTGGCGTCTTTATTCCGCTTGGCCTCATGCTTTTTCCCTATGATCCAGCACCATTTAATATCAGTTATCTAAAACGGTATATTTTAACATGTTTTTTTCCTTATTATTTTTCATACATTAGAAGAATTCTTCATGTTTTCTACTTTAACATAACTGCCGTAATACGCATAAGCGTTCCACGGTATATAAGGATTGCTTAGAACATGGAACAGTTATGATTCTATTTTTGAAAACTAGGATTTTTTTCGTGGTGATAGTATTCGGGTGAATGGTTTTAGGGGTAATGTTTTTCGAGGTAATGTGTCATTCGAAGAAATAGTATTCGGAGTAATGTGTCATTGGGGATAATTTTAAGCGATTTCTAAGGGAATGGAGTTGGAATAAAAAAAAAACAAATTTCAGTACTTCGGATAGGTTGAGAGGACATCTTTGTAGGCCATATAACAGGTTCGGTAAAGTTGACCAGGTATACCCAGATGGTGAACAAAAAGTTCAAATTTTTTTTACGGATTTATTAAAAAAATGTGTCATTCGAAGAAATAGTATCCGGGGTAATGTGTCATTCGGGATAATGGTATTCGTGGTAATGGTTGGTATTCGGGAATCTGTTATAGGATCCCTAGTATTCACATTATAGAATATATATATAATATCGAAAAAAAAAAATATATTATCGAAAAATTAAAAAGGGGAAAAAATCCTTGAAATATATATAAAATATATATATTTATTTATTAAAAGAAAACGTTGAGCTAGGTTCTGTAATCGTTAACAAAACTGATCATTCTAATGACGATTGACTTTTTTCAGCTGCAAATGGCAAACTGCATTCCAAAATTATTGATTTAAGCCTACCGTCAATAAAAATGTTGGATGAAGGAATAAAGGACTATATGAGTGGCTGCGGATCAGACAAGACGTTTTGTTACTTGCTCAACAATTATCATGGAATCCTGGATGTACATCCCCCACCAATTGAAATGGTGGTCATGCCAATCACATTAGATAACAATAATAATCAAAAAGCTACCAATATCCAAAATGATAAAAGTGATACCACAACAGAGGTAGACAGTACGAACTGTTCTTCACGTGAAGCCTACGATGCGCTTACAGTTTCTAGCGAAGCCTACAATAACCAACTATACTGTTATTCATATTCTGATTCTGTAAGTTGTCGAACCAAGTGTCATGACTTCCCATAATAACCTCCATTGTATCCCTTGGTTATGCGTTAATGTAAATTAAATTGACGCAACGTATTTGACCATGAGGTAATCAAAAATATCTTAACATAACGCATTGTCAGTAACGGCAAGTTATTACGGACAAAATCCTCTTGCATTTTTTCATAAAAGAATGTAATAACGCTTGATCGTACGTTGGAAGGAAACGATAAAATTGTCTGCAAGCTTCTTCACAATACACGCAGGAGATGATACACGTAAGGAAATGAGGATTTTTTTGTTTTGCTATTTCAACATTTCTATCAAGCTATGTCGTCAACCGCGTTTATTGCAACAAACTTTGCTAACAATATACGTATGGATCATTCCGCGCCAAGTAACCGAGAAAAAAAATACAAAATTGTAATTGACCTCTTCCTATTTGGACCAAATTTGGAGATGTCTTTTAATCTAAATTTTAAGAATCCCAATTTTTTTTTCGGCCCTGTCCAAGGATGAGGGGCTTGATGATGATTTGTCAAGTGTCGCTATGATTTTTTTTTGCAATTTGATAAAATTGTAGTTTTTCTCCAGTTCATTGATTTGAAAGGTTCATGCGAGTTAATTTCACGGAGCCGTAAATTGTAGTTTTATCATAATTTTAATGGAGTTGGTTGGAAATGCTAACATGAAGCTTTAGTGTGATGATTTATTAGCTAGAGAATGATCTTTAGAAGAATGTAGGTGGATAGTTCCGTTAGAGTACGGCAGTATGAAAATTGAATAGAAGTTGAAAATGAGCGAAGGGCCATTAAAGCGACAGTTTTCAAGATGACGCACATTTTTGCCTAGCCCGTACGATGTACGCGGGGACTTGAAGTATGTCTCCAAGTCCACAGGCTGTGCCTGTGGACTTGGAGACATACTTCAAGTCCCCGCGTACATCGTACGGGCTAGGCAAAAATGTGCGTCATCTTGAAAACTGTCGCTTTAATGGCCCTTCGCTCATTTTCAACTTCTATTCAATTTTCATACTGCCGTACTCTAACGGAACTATCCACCTACATTCTTCTAAAGATCATTCTCTAGCTAATAAATCATCACACTAAAGCTTCATGTTAGCATTTCCAACCAACTCTGAAAATCGTTAACTTCGCGTATGAAGTAACATAAAAAACACTTTGAATAATTTTAATATTTTGTAATGCTAAGGTAAATAGTTTGCTTTGAGTGTAAAATTAATTTATAAGAAAGTTCTAACAGTTTTTTTTTTTGCACTTCGAAACTTGACGGGTCATACCTCTAACGTAGTAGCAGTGACAGTGTCGCATGTCCTAACAACAACTGCCTGCGACTAGTGTTCGAGGGGCCGACAGGGCTGAATACGGGTCAATACTAACAAAACTCTAACACTAACATGACCCCGAAACTAACGTTCATCCATTGCACTAATAGTTATAATGTAGTTGTACTTTCCTAATAACCCATCTATCACAGACAAACAGACATAACACTCGGTTGGACAGGTTGTTCATCGAATACGCATTTGACGGTTAATTCGGGTGTTTTTGGTTGGTGGTGCAGCCACCTGTGGCGCGCACGGTCGGTTCCCTTGCGTTTGACGTTTGCACACTAGCGCCATCTGTTCAGCGTACTATCCATCACATGATACTCAACAGATGGCGGTAGTGTTTTAGTGACTATGTTTTGTGGAGAAAAATATTAAATGTGTTATTTCTGTTTGTCTGTGCATCTATGTTTCTTTTTCGTTGTGTGTGTGTGTGTGTGGGGGGGGGGGGTGGTTAATGTAACCAATACTAATACCTTTCTTTCTGTTCTTTTATTCGTTTTCTATATCCCTTCATCATCAGAGATGACTTACTTGCATGGTGCATGCCCAAGTCGTACTACAGGATAATATACTGAGCGTGGTTCTATCACAAATCGATAGAGCTGAGGAATAATGAGGTAAATTCTACACAGTATTTTAAAGGAGCCAACTCTAAGCAGGTAATAATAGCAATTAATAATCAAACAACCATAAAAAGGTAAGAATAAATTTATTTATTTTAAATATTTTCACCAACCTCGATTATTATTAACAGGTAAATATTCATTTTATTAAATTACTATATAATACTGTCATTACTGTTAACACTATCATTGCAACTAATTCAATTAGGCATATTCAATTGACCTGCATCGGGTTATTATTTTGCATGTAATGATATGGGAAAAGGGGGGACTCACGATTCAGCATGGAGAGTGTATGGGAGCCGTTCTAGGGGTTGGTTGGGGCATGTGGTTCATTTTAGACATTATAGTCTGACGTGAGAACCATGTTCCACTCAAGTTCTGGAATTTGACCTTGAGACTTGAGATCTGGCCTTCATAAGACCCCCTTCTGTCTCGCAAAATCAAAATCAAAATCAAAATCAAATTTTAAGAATCCCAATTTTTGGGACGATCGGTGCACCCCTCAGTCCAGAGAAGCATTTTCTATTTTTCGTGAATTTCAAGAAAGCACTTCTTTCTATTATCAATATCTACGGAACATGTGAAGCTACAATCAACATAATAGCATGTTTTTATGAGAAAATTAGTCAAAGAATCTAAATATGAATTTGTTTTTTTGTACAGTGTTGCCAAATATTTTATATTTGCGTTTAAAAATTTAAAACGCAATTTTCTCAGAATGAGTGTATTTAGATTTCCAATCTGACCCCATCCACAAGAAACACTTATCGACAAAAAGACATTTGCGTCACAGAACAGAAGGGGAAGTGCAAACAAATCGGTGAATTTAAAAATGGTTCGTTTTTCTGCTCAACAAGCGATGCGTTGTGGTAGCGTTCCACACTGGCTTCTTTTTGCACTCACACTATCATAGCATGCTGCCTATCTTAACTGCACGCAGAAGATGCCATCTACCGCTAGGTGCGCTAGTGTTCGCCAATGAATAGTGAAGCCACTTTCTGATCCGAAGTCCCCCTTCTGTTCTGTGTTTGCGTATTTGCTTCAATGTCAAAATAATGAAAGAAAAGATGGTTTTCAATTTTCTTTTCACTTGCTCTTCTATGAGAACTCATTTTTCTCGCCTACTGTTTTAAATGTTTTTTTTCATGCAAGAAAAAAGGAAATCAAGTAAAAAAATTGGTTACAGTGTTGCCAAATTTAAATATAATTTTCCGCCTTATAATATTAATGTATTTTTTGTGTGAATATATTTGTTTTGATGGCACAAACAAAAAACTTACAGTTGCATGAAGATAATCATTAAGTGAAGCATTTTGTCTGATTTTCTGTGATAATTGACTTTGGATAAAGACGATGGAAGTAAAATATTAATAAAAATAAAGAGTGCTTAAAGCACTCTGATTCTGTAAATTTGCTTTGAAAAAAATAAAAGAAAACTCCTTGTCATTTTTTATATTTTTCTATCAATACTGTATACCACTTGAATATACTTTGATCATTTTATGTTTAATCTACCTTATATTTGAAAAAGTCTGTGGAACACGATGGTTTTGAAGTTTGATGGAAATCAAATATATTCATAAAAATCCGATTACTATTTTTAATTGGTAAATTAAACACTGTAAAAAAAACTAGATTTCATGTTTTATTTGAACTTAAAAAAAAAACATTTAAAACAGTAGACGCGAAAAATAAGTTCTCTTACCTAGAAGAGCAGGCGAAAAGAAAATTGAAAACATGTGTTTTTCTGATATGTTTTGACATTATTTGTTTCAAAATGCTGTATATCAGGAAATACGCAAATTACTTTATATATATATTTGTCTAATTTTCTCGCATATTTGTCTAATTTTCTCATAAAAACACTCTATAATGTTAATTGTACCTTCATTTGTTCCGGAGATATAAATAAAAGAAAGTAGTGCTTTCTTGAAAATCATGAAGTATAGAAAATGCTCGACTGTACCGAGAGGTGCTTCAATCATCGCAAAAAATTGAATTCCTAAAATTAAGGCTAAAATAAACATCTCCTTAAAATTTGGACCAAATCGGAAGAGGTCGATTTCAATTGCCTCCGACACTTGGCACGGAATGACCCACATCGTTTTCCTTTCATCGTTACGATCAACCCTAGCAGCACACATGTCTCTGAACAATTGTGGTTACTTGTGTGCTTCTTATTCCAGTCACAAATCAAGTTGGAGGAGCTTATTTCGATCGAAGTGTGCTGCTTGGGAAGCTACTATGTACCTATATATTGTAGAGCGAGTTTATCAAGGTGGTCGCAAGAGTTTTGTCTTTATTGCTGGTTGCTTTCTGCGTTTGGATTCTCTGTTGACCATACGTTGGTTGATACGTTGCGTCAGTTCATCAGTATCAGTTTAGAGTCTACTCCATTTGTATATATAGGGTATATATAAATATATATATATACAGCAATTGCATAGAAAAAAGTTATAGTGGGTCTCAGAATTTCATGAAAATTGGTATAGTTCTTCCTTATCAAAAAATATTAGACTCGTAATTTTTTATTGCGCCATTGACCATTTCCGTGTTAGGGTGGTCCAAAAAATATTTTTTTTTTCAAAATGTCTTTTATATATATAACTTTTATGTATTAACTATAACTTCTGAACCTCTTGACCGATTTTTACGATTGACTCTTCAAATGAAAGATGTTTTAATGTAGTTTTAAGAAAAATTATGAAACACTCAGAGATATTTGATTTTGTAGGAAAAAAATATGTTACAAATGCTTTTTCTTGATTTTCACTGCGAGGGTCTTCAACAACTTCTTATTTTAGTATTTTTAATTGAAATATCATTTAATTTTACATAACTTATCAAAAAATTAGCGATGTCGTCGGAGAAGCAGTTTTGGAGATACAATTTTTTTTAAATAAAAAATTATTGTTCCGCAATATATGCACCACACGTGCATGGAAGGTAGTTCCACACGTGCACGCAAGGTAGTTCACAATGCGTCTCCATCGAGTCACAGCAGCTGTGACTAATGAAATCTATGAGTAACTTACAAGCTGGGTGCAACATTCAGTTCAGCCTGGAGGCTGTCCATAAACCACGTAGACCAATTTTTAAACATTGCAGACCCTACCTCCCCCCTCGTATACTTTACTAAAATTTTAAAATATTTTTACCGAGCGTATACTGTGGCTGGATTCCCCTCCCCCATTGAAGTCTTCGTGGCTTTAAAACAGGCCCCAGTTTGACATTATTAATTTTGGTATCAAAATTCTGGGAGA